TTAATCTTCACAATCGATGTTTTGCTGCTTCAATAAGATATTACAGAAGAAGATGAATGCATGAACAAGATATTACAAAAGAAGATGAAGTCGTGAAAAATATTTTTCAAAAGAAGATGAAGGCAAATGCAACAAACCCTAATACACATGAATAATATGTATTCCTCATTATGACATTTTAAGAGAAAAATTTGTCCTACATGGAGCTGACATGGCAATTAACATTGTCACATTTAACACCGTTAGTGTGTTTTGTCTCCAAAGGATAAACGTGGTACATATAATACAGTTGAAGGACTAAATGACCCTTTTAAAAATTAAAGGACCAAAATGAACCCCGCTCAAAACATACGGGACGAAAAAGACTATTTTGCCTAATTTTAATTAATACAATTAATTATAAGGTTTTGTTGGTAAGATCTCCTAAAGTTGTTTCCATTTCATGTCTTGGAGAGTCATATTCCGTCTTAAATAATTGATTTTTTCTCACAATTACTTCTAGATGATTGGTCTATTTTTCAAAATCTTGTTAGAGTTAGGGTTTAGAACGGTCAAAATAGGATACCTGACTTTAAACGAATCGATTTTAACGGGTCTTAGAATTTTTAGGACTAAGCAAAAAAAAAATCAATTGAAATATGTACTCAAAAATTATTACTGAGTACGACCCTGTACGGGCTTCAGATTATCCAATCTTTAACAGACTTCTTTTAAAATTATTTTTTATAGAAAAATTAAAATTAAAATTTCATATCATTTATGATAAGTACAGTATAAAATTATATTATTTTGAATATAATATATTTAAAATACTATATTAATTTTTTATAAATGATATAATATGTTTTTAAATACAATACATATATAAATTATATATAATAGTAATAATCAAATATTTAAAATAAGAGAAATTAATAGAATACGAGAAAATTATGAATTAAATACAAAATAATTGAATATTAATTTGATTATATATAATATAATATTTAAAATAAAAGGATTGAATAGAACATAGATAAAAAAAATTTGAGGTGAGAAATATCAACATGTTGTTTTGGAGTGAGACAACATAAGTATTAATATAATTTTTTAAAATTTATATTTATGCGGGTGCAACGGGCTACCCGTGGCCCATATGGACTAGCCATAATAAGTAGCGGGTTTTTTAAGACCGGACTAAAAATCCTTGAAAAATATGGACTCTAATTTTTAAGGCCAAAATCCTATGATATTTGGGGTTTGGCGGGCCGGGCCATATGGGCTAGCCCATTTTGATGACTCAAATAGAAAATTTTACCCAATAACCTTCATTTATCCCTCTACCCCTACAAATTATGAACTTGGAGCAAAATATCACTATATAAATACTTAGACTTCAAAAAATTCCACTTTTCCCTCATTTAGTTTTATAGAAAGTGAAAGCAATTGGAAACCAGAAATCACAAACCAAAGATATCTGATTCAACAATGTACTAGAGAACACAAGTCAAAGGTATTCGATTCACTATTTTTTCACACCTGAAATCTTACAAGTTATCTGGATTGAATCAGAAAAACATTGCACACAAGATAACTTGGCATGAAGTAATCTGGTTCACATATATTAAAATCGAATAACTCTTAACCATGTTATCCGGTTCTTAATGTTTTATATCAGAAAACTTGCACCAAGGTTATCCGGTTCTTATTTTCATCCGGAGAACTTGGATCAAGGTTATCTCGTTCTTGTTTTTAACTTTCATTGTTTCTTTATGGCACGTAGGAGAGGTTGGTGCATGGAAATTATTCGACAAAGGGGTGAAGGACGACAACCTCAACAAGCGATGGATGAAGAGTAACATCAAATAATCGCACCCGAGCCTCATCCGCAACAGCCACAGTTCCTCGGACGGTCGTACAATACGTCTCTTCCGGTGAGGTATCCGGATCATGTTGCTCGCCATTTATGGTTCGACGAAGTAAGTTAATATTTATTATTTTACGTTGAATCATTTTTTAATTTTAATTACTTATATTTTATAACATATACTATAAATTAATTTTTAGAAGAAAAATCTGAAGAAATAATTAAGGATTGTTGCACATGGTAGCAAATTGATTAGATGGGTTCCACACAGTCTCTCACCGCTGATAGAGAGATGGTTGTCTGATTCTGGTATATCCTTTCTACATGGAACCAGTTTGTAAAGGATAGATAAAAATTTAGTATCAACATTTGTAGAGAGATGACATCGAGAAACATCGTCCTTTCATATGCCATTTGGCGAGATGATCATTACATTGGACGATGTTTCTTGTCTTCTTCATTTACTATGTAGGGGGAGTTTTATAACTCTACACGAGGTTTAACTGATGTTGATGCTATTACTTTTGCTATTGACTTCTTCGGTGTTTTGTTGAAGGAGGAAACTGAAGAGGCTCGTAATTGTAGGGGCGCCTATTATAGGTTGGATTGGTTGAAGGAGGTATTTATGCGTCAACGAGTTGATAGCAAATTTAATTGTGCTGCTAGAGCCTATATGTTGTTGGTGGTAGGTTAAACCATTTTTGCCGACAAGACTTTTACTCTTGTAGAGACAAAATATTTATAACTATTTAGAGACTTGCTTGGATCTTGTAGATATAATTAGGGGGTAGTTGCCCCTGTCACACTCTATAGATATCTAGGAGATGCTTCCTTTTTTTCGTGCAAGCAGCTTGGCGGATATGCCTCTCTCCTATAGGTACAAATATTTTATTTTAATTTTATTTTGACTTACATTTACTTATTTATAATTATTTTAATTGATAATATTCATGTTGTGTAACAGTGTTGGATTCATGAGTATTTTCCAACTATAGACAAGAGAGGATTGTTTAACATTGCTGGTATCGGTAGTCCATTTCCCAGGGCGATAAAATGGGTTTACAAGCAAGATGTACAAAAGGCTTATGAGCTTAGGCATGTGTTGGATGCATTGTCACCTACTGATGTCATTTGGCGCTCTTTTGAGGAACATAGACAACATCATCTATTTGATGATATATGTCTGTACACGTGTGACATGAAATGGTATGACACAATTGTACTATACTTACCTGAGAGATATATGCGTCAGTTTAGTCATAGGCAATACATACTGCCTCTCCCTCCTGATTCTGACACACTTGATGTGGATTTTGAGTGGATTTCATATCATGCGAGCGTGATGAAAGTGATCCGTTTGAAAGTTTTTGCTACCACCCCATATGATGCGGAGGCTGATTATTTTAATTGGTACTATAGGGTGTCACATCCTCGTTTGGTAGCACCACCTCAGGGGGAGGTGAGACATGTCCCAGTTCATATCTACGATTAGGGGTGCGCAAAAAAAACGGTTATTATTAACCGAATTAGTATCCAAATTGTTCCACTTTTAAAAATCCAAATCAAATGCTAAAATATAAATGTGGTTATCCATTTTTTTAATCCAAATATAAACCGGTTTCCATAATAATAATGTGGTTTAGTTATTAGATATCCAACTTTCATTATTTGTTAAATTGATATGTTTGTCTCTTTTCATGTTTCATCATATGCACGTTATAAACCAATTTTATATTTTGAACTATTTTAAAGTTAATTTTTTAAATTTCATATAAAAAATTATTTTACAAAAAATTTATAATTTTGTTTTTCAAAATGAAAAAAAAGTTAATTATATTACTACGAATTATTTGTAGCTTATTCTACATAATGATTATTAAAATTGGTGAGAATTCATGCGTAACCAGAAAAGCATTATGCTAATTGAATTAATTCTATTACGACAATTGTATAACGGTAATCAACAAAATCATTATAACTACAATACCCATTCAATTTTACGTAATATAAACTAATTGTTTTTTAAAATGTTTTTTTTTATTTTCAAAGAAAAATATTTTAAAACCGTATTAAACTTGTTTAAGTATTTAAATTTAAGAATTGATATAATTTAAAGGAAATAGAATTTAAATTTAACTAAATAATTTTGATTAAAATCAAAATCCATTTAGAACCGGTTTTAAACCGATTCGGGATAAATGGTTTGGTTTATAAACCATAACCATAAAAATGGATTGGTTTATAAACCATAACCATAAAAATGGACTGGTTCATATTAAATGGTTACCCATGCACACCCCTATCTATGATGAAGGACCGTCAGATCCGAGGTTATGAGTTTTATCGTTATTTACAACGTCACGAGGATGATGATGATTTTGCTGAGGTATTTCAAGCACTACGTGTAACTCAGGGCGGATCAGTACCTCAGGCTGATGAGGACGACGATGATTGATGCATTGTTATATTTGAGATTTATGTAGTATTTTCATACTTATGCAATATATTTACTATTTTGAGACTTGTGTATTTTGATACTTCTTTATTGTTTTAAGAGTTATGCAATATAATCCAAAATATAACATGAATTGAATATAAAATGAAGTCAATTGTAAATATAATCCAAAATACAATAATCACATTGCAATAACAATCTAACATATTGTGGAACATGTGTAAGGTGTTGCCAATGTTGTAACCGTCTAGCAAATCCTATCATCTAAGAAGTTGCATCTGGAGTGTGATACTTCTTCAAATCTAATGCAATCAATGGCAATATAAACCTTTCATTCATTTTTACCTATTTAGAAAATTAATATCAAAAGAAAAAATAAGTAAGGCATAAATGAAAGATAAGTAATTAACTTAACAAACATGAATATTTAACTACCTAAACCCAATGCAGTAAATGGACACATTAGGTGAATTTGAAGTTGTCATATGAAATAAAGTCAAAATAGGATAACCCGAAGAGACGAGAATGATGTTATACCGATTTGCTATCGCATAACCCATTTCTGGTGATGTCATCCATTTCTCTTGTGCCCAAGGACCTAAAGATGATATCATGAAGGATTCTCTCACTTTTGATGAGCGACTTCCAAATAACTTCTCATAAAGACTACTTTTAGAACCTCTAATTTCATTATCCAAGTCATGATGCAATGACCCTAAACCCAGAATTTCCATCACTCTTAATATCAACAGTGTCATCAATAAATGGTCTAATATGATCCAAAAATTGTACAATAAACCTATCAGATGGTTTCTTCTTTGAGATTTGGGATAACTGTGAACATGACCTATTTGAATATTTTTGAGAACTAGAGTTTTCTTGATCAACATACTCATGATATGGAGGATCACAATAAACATCATATCCCACGGGTTTATTCCCTTTCGTTTTCACCCCTCCTTTGGTTTTTATTTTTTCAGGCGGTGAACACATCCTTGTTGTAGTGGGGTAAGCAATTTCACATGTCCTAATTTTTATTGTTTTTTTTCCTGCAACATCTATTGACCTGAACCTTTTCCAAAGTGCATCAATTTCATTGCTCATGTCCACCTCTGATCCATCCTTTGCATCTACCTCTTGTTCACTTTTCGTGCTAAGCTTTTTTTAATGGATATGAATAGCATCAATTGGTATTGGATCTCCACTAAATGTGTATCTCCCCAACTCACAAGTACAAGGTAACCCATATACTTTTCTATGAGTACGCCCGCAGATTTGGGTGTTTGTACCCACAATGTCAACCCGCAACCACTCTTCAGCAATGTGCTTTAAACTAGCTCTTGATACTGATCCGCACAAATTCCTATAAAATAGACTAGTGTGCGCGTGCTCAACTTCATAAAAACTATTCTAAAACAAAGCTCTAATATTGCCCAATTGTACCTTGATATTTCCATTTATAGCCTCCCAACATTTGCACATATCACCTATGTTTTTTTCCAACATCTGCTTTAGTTCCCAATACGCAAACTCAACCCTAAAAAACTAACATACCTATTCGTCGCGGTGTTGCCCAAATGCAAAACTTGATTGATCCAAGCTCCAACAAATCTTTTCCTATGAGGATTCAACCATGTGTCTTTTACATAATTAAAAAATTGTCTAAACTTAACACATGTGTGCTCAAGCTGTTGCAACTATTGATTGGACTCCACCTCATCACTAGCCTTTACAAGTTCATACCATAGTTTCTCTACCGGCTCTCACATATCATTCACAACATATTTCTTTCACTTTGATTTCATATTTTTGTTGATGTGAAATTAACAAAGAAAATTAATTGTCATAGGATATACAATTTCAACTTATCCAATACTTAAAAAAAGATCTCTATCAGTCAAAATCACTTGTGGCCATAACCCATGCTTAGTAAATAATTATTTCAAATTATCCAATACCCAACAAAATTTCTTTGTCTGCTTAGATTCCATATCGGCAAATACAATAGTAAATGTTAACTTAGTTGATGTCATACCAACCACTTCAAATAAAGGTTGCTTATACTTGTTTTTCGTATGTATTGTCCATAATCAGAGGAAACATATTTGATAACCTCACTGATTAAGGGTGGGCCTATAAGATATCTCTCACAACTTCTTACTCATCATTTTTCTATTCCAGTAAACATAATTTGAATCCTCTATCTGCTTAAGCAAATATTATATTTTCGTTATAGGACCCCTGATGTCTTTCTGAATCTTAATCTCATGTTTATATATTTGTGTGATCCGAGTCACATTCTCTGAATCTCGTTCTTGCAATAACAATAGTACGTGTCTTGGTAGAACATGACGTTTTTTCAAATCAACAATATGTTTTTGTTCATCAATATTAAGTCGACCTACAAAGAATGACCTTAAAATTTATCCGGTAAACCATGGTTATGAAATCCACATTTTACATCAATCTTCCAACCAGAACCATCATTTGAAAGTGTTGACCTAATTTTGAATGTACAACCAGATTTCTTAGTAGCATTTTCTATTACATTATCTCCTTTTTTGTATTTTCCACCTTTATCACAACCAAATATAACTTTGCCACTTCTTCCAATCTTGCTAGTTTTGGCATCTGAACAAGTTATTATAACTGTCACTTTATTCCTGATTCCAACCTCTTTAATCCACCTTGTCGCCTCTTGTCGTGTATCAAATTTTTCTATAGTTGAGAATATCTCAGTGGTATCTACGCATATATGATTTTTATCGCATATCATAAAAGAAATATACATTCTTATTAAATATGAATGTAAAAAAAAATAAAACATAAAAAAATTAAAAAATGTGTACTGGAATAATTAGAAGTAAGAAATATGGTTTGGATAAAAAAAACATCACCAGAACTCTTACATGTAAGATATTCGATTAGTAGAAAAACTTAAACTGGAAAACACATGAAAAAGTTATCTGGTTGGCTTTTGTGAACTGGATAATTAGGCAACATGTTATCCGGTGTGAAAATATATAAACTGAAAATCATGACTTTAAGTTCTCCAGTTTGTGAACTAAACATACCGGATGTCTTTAATTCAAGTTATCTGGTTCGCATAATAGGGGTACACAATTGCCAATTTCAAATGACTTGGACGAATGGTAAAAGGTAAAAGATTAAAGTGAAATTAACAAGGGTAAACTTGAAATATTTACAAAATCGTTGGGATATGTAGATAAGTATGGGGGTATAGGGTAAAAGTTTCACTCTAGTAGGATTATTCAGAATATTGAATGAATAAATTGTGTTTTTTTTGTTAATTTTGTAAAGAGAATACATAACCTGTTCTTAATTTGCAATTTTTCATCCAAGATTTGATACTTCGCCGATATACAATTTAGTTGGGTATGCCACCTGACTTACTTTGTTTATTCTCAATTTTTTGTTCTTTTAAAAGGTAGCTTCCGCCTCGAACTATTCTTGGATCTAGTTTGACATTTTGTGGCATGGTTAAACTAAAAGTCACATAATAATGTTATTTTCTTTAATAAGTTAGTGATTTTTGATCGGGTCTATTAAAATTTTCCTCTTATAAGTAGTTTTTGGGTAAGTCTTTGTGGTATCCTTTTTACTTTTGATATATGATAATTCAACCCTCCTTTTGTTTTGTTGTGTAAATCTTTGCTCATTCCCTTAGTTATCTTTTAGTTGTGGAGCATCTTGTTGGTCTTGTTTTATTTTTAAACTTTTAGTTTTAGTTTTACTTATTTCCCGTGTATTTTGGAATATTTCTATTTTTATTGGAGTTTTTTTATATGCAAAATGAATTAAAGGAAGTATAAGGGTTACTTCAACCCATTACAACTGAGACGGTCTAAACTCATCATTACCGAGAAGAACCACTGCCCATCTTTTATGAAAGGTTATAATGATCTCTCACAACCCTTTGCTTGCAAGTTAGACTAAAGTTAACACACACCACATACAACACCAACAAATTACATCAGCACAATTATAATATTGAGATTGATTTGTACAATTCGAAGTGTCATTCGGGCATATTTGGCAAAGGCCTACGGTTTTGGCAAGCTTAAACACAATTATAACCTACAACCAATTCCTACAATCTCGCAGTTCCTTTCCGACAACTCAAACATGAATTCTTCACTAAATGAAAACTTGAAACTGACACATTTCTACTAGACTTTTGTGATCTTCCAACTAGAACAAAACTTCCGAACAAAAGAAGGAACAATCATTCCACATAGGAACATGGAATGATATTCTTCAGTGTTTTTTCTTTGTAGCACTTTACTCTATTTGAATGGGGTATTCCTTATAATTATTTCTTGTGTTTTATTATGTTATCAGACATTAAAAGACGTTTTTTATGTAACATATCAACTCGTCTGACATTCAACACAATTACTTATAGACTTATCGTCTCCCTCTATCTCGTGGACAATTTAGCAAAAAAATTTATTTCACTGGGAGTTGAACCTAACATCTAAGATTATAACTGCCAAATCATAAAAATCATCTGATTTTGTTTATATTTAATTACTTGTAAAGTCACATATTTGTGAGGTATTAAATTTAACATATTTTTTATCAAAAATTTTAAAAGGAAAAAAAAAAGAAGCTATAATTGATGATTTTTTTACACTAATACCCTATTCTGAAACAAATAATACCAAACTACCCTCTTTTAAAAAAAGTTAACGAATTTGCCCTAGGTTTAGAACCTGCTCGTCCACTGAAGTGGCGAGCATATGAAAGAAATTCTGACCACGTTGGTGCTCGCCCACTCAGATGGCGAGCACATGAAAAAAACAAAAAAAAAACACCCTTCATGTGCTCGCCATCTGAGTGGGCGAGCACCAATGTGGCTAGAATTTCCTTCATATGCTCGCCACTTCAGTGGACGAGCAGGTTTTGAACCTAGGGCAAATTCATTAATTTTTTTTCAAAAGAGGGTAGTTTGGTATTATTTGTTTCAGAATAGAGTATTGGTGTAAAAAAACCATAATCGATTTCAACTTGACTTTTATTAGGTCTTTAACCCATTAATTCTCACAAAAGTGACATGTTGATATGAAGTTCAATTGTTAAAGAATTAAAACATAACTAATAATTTAATAGGTTGAAATTAATATTTGATAATTCTCTCAAACTTTTTTCATAAGTCAAATAAATATAAATCTTTCACTTAAGTGCAAGGTGTGCAAAGAGGAAAATTAATAATTTGCAATGAAATGAGAAAGAAAAAAATAAAACATTAAAGTTTTATCCAAGCAAAATCACATTAAAAACATCAAAATATAGACAAATATGAGGAATAAACCCTCAAGTATTTAGATCATAACCAAAAATATATTTTTCTTAGCTTTTAGCCACCTTAGACAAGAATTTTAATCGAACAACTGCTCGCACGATACCGCCTTTGCTCCAAATAGCCTAAAGTTTATTTCCTTTGAAATACGCTCATTGCATTCAACCAAATCACAAGTAATCACTTCCTAGTCTCTTCATGAATTAAGCAAGATCAACCAATTTGGCATGCGTGAGGGAACATATTATTAATAAAGAGATGAAAATTTTAATCAACTACTACAAAAAGCACATTGTGTAACTATTTCTTACCACGACCACATAACAAACCGAGGTAATATATGTTTATTAGAATAATTTCATTTTTTTAAAAATTATATATAACCACAATTACAATTAACAACCGTTATGATATGTTAAGAGTAATATGCTTCGAAACCCAACACCAATAATTTTTGTATTTTTTCGTCAGTAAAAGATTTTATTCCCTTAATTTTTAATTTTAAATAAAAATTAAAAACTTGGCACCACCGTCTAGATTAACAACCGTGGTAAATTATCAGGACAAATCACCATGATTATGTTTAACAATCATTGTGAAATATATTATCTATATAAGCTAACTTAATTCACTTCAGAATAGACTGTGTTTTAAGTGTGAAACTTTAACTTCTCTCGCCTTGTCCCATTCTCTTAAAACTCAATTCTAACTTAAAAAAAATCTAATATAATTTCTCAAACTAGTATGAATCAAGGGAAGGTGTCATGAAACAAGAAGCAAA